CACTCATCTCCAGGCCAGCGGTCACTCTTTCAGGGATGAAGATGTGCACATCCTGGATAGAGAGGAACAATGGTTTGAGGAGTCATTCTACACACAACCATCCGATGCTGTCTGGCCATGCTCTCCCTTCTCACAACCTTACAGTCCTCAATCTCCCTCAGGTTTCCTCTTCTACACAGAATGTAGTCGACCTGCGTACTCCTTCCACCACTCTTACAGGTCACTCTATTTCTCCTTCTTTTGGAAATAAGTGTTGACTACAGCTATTTCCATTCTCTTGGCAAAATTCACCACCATCTGTCCTTCCTGGTTTCTTTCCTTGACACCAAACCTACCCATCACTTCCTCGTCCCCTCTGTTTCCTTCACCAACATGCCCATTTAGGTCTGCTCCGATCACTACTCTATTCTTCCTGGGAATACTCTCTTCCTGGGAATACTCTCTATCACTTCATCCAGATCCTTCCAAAATGTATCTTTCTCCTCCACATCACATCCAACCTGTGGAACATAAGCACTGACAACATTTAGCATCAGACCTTCTACTTGTACCTTTAGACACATCACCCTATCTGACACTCTTTTAACCTCTACTACATACTTTGCCAACTCCTCCTTCAGGACCACCCCTATTCCATTTCTCTTTCTATCCACACCATGGTAAATCAGTTTAAACCCTGCTCCAATGCTGCAAGCCTTGCTGGACTTGGACATATAAAACATCTATCTTCCTTCTCAGCATCATGTAAGCCAGCTCTCTACCTTTCCTTGTTATTGTCCCCACATTTAGAGTTGCCACCCTCAGTCCTACATTCTTGACTTTCCTCTTCTCCCTCTGTCTCCTGACACGTTTCCCTCCTCGTGGTTTTCGACTAACAGTATCACAATTTCTGCCAGCACCCTGTTTGTTAACAGCACTAGAAGGTTACTTTAAAAAGAGTGCACTAACTATAAACTGTAAGTCCTCCCCATTCCCAAAAACTTTTTCCTCCTAACACACAAAGGCATGGCTGCAGAGGAGACTTTTTGTTTAAAACCTAAACATTATTTTTAAAGAGGGGTGGGGATTTTCTTTTAGTTTTTGTAAAAACTCTGAACACAAATGCTGATTTATAGGTTTTGTTTTTTCTTACGTCATGACTAAGCTTTGCCTCTTTCCGACAATCACGTAAAACTTAAAAAATGATTTGGATGTTTTATTATTAACTCATTTGGAGTTAGAAATAAAACACCCAAATCATTTTTTAAAAGCCTTCTAGAATAAAGCAGCTACACACATTACATATATTTACCTTTCCAACAGGTCTTGCTTCCATCTGTGTTAAACTTGAAGAGGAATTCTCCACACTTCCAGCAGTGGTGATGGGGGGAGAAAGATCTCCCTCTCTCTCTGAAGTATGATGGTCCACAGTCGGAACTGATCCGAGTCCTTTGCTTCGCAGAGCTGCATCATTCATGACTATGGAAGAGTTGTGGAAAGGAGTGACTGTTAATCTGGACCTTGGACTGGGCTGTGCTCCTTGTCCTTTGGAAACACAGGGTACTTTAGAAGCAGGACTGAAGGATCTTCCTCCTGGTGAAAGACTCTGATAGGCTCCAGTGTAATCCATTGCTGTGAAAAAGAGGAAGACTTTTGTAGCAAAAGAAGACTGCAGAGTGAAGAATATCACTACATACTAGAACGATCCTGAAGTACTAGTCCGGCCCACGTGAGATCAACTAAAATCAGTTTGACACCCCTGCTGCTAAGACAAAATATACAGTATGTGTAAATCTAAAGAAAAATAACACTTTCTGCTTTAGAATTATGCAGACCTGATTGTCTTTTCATGTGTGAGAAAAAGAAGAAGCTAAAAGGTTGAATGAATGAAATGAAGAACAGGCACTAACTGACAACTGATTCAGTTACTGAAATCATGATAAGCTGTCTTACTAATGTCTACTATTTTTTTTTTTCATTCAGCCTTACGGATATATTAAACAGCCTGTGACACTGGATACAATCTGCTGCAGAAATTTCATGCTCATAAAAGTTAAACAGCTAAATGTAAATGTACGAGTCAAATGAGTTTGGGTCAAAGTTCTGAGGAGCCCCAGAGCTGGTTGCCATCTTTATTTTGGAACATACTTCAACTATATTGGTTATTTTCCAGTGGTAAAGAAATTGAAAGTTAAACAGGGTTTCTTTTTGAAAAATAGATCCTGTCTAATGCTGAACGTTAGGAAACACCTTGTAGCTGCTACTTTCCTTCCCTCCATTGATTACGGTGACATTATGTACATGAAAACCAAAACCATTAGTGAAAAGACATGATGACATGATGACATGATTCAACCTTTTTTGTTGTTATATACCTGGATGACTGAGAAAACAAACTTTGTGTTTTTGAAACCATTAGTGAAAAGGCCAGACTTCAGGGGTATCTGAGGCAGGCTTGAAACACAAGAGTCAGGGTGGCTTCTGGGTAATACCAGATGGCTAGGCCTCAGACTGACGAAGCCTCTTGGATGAGGGGCGAAACGTTTCTTTTTAACAAAAAAACGAAGTCCAGATGACATGATTCAACCTTTTTTGTTGTTATATACCTGGATGACTGAGAAAACAAACTTTGTGTTTTTGAAACCATTAGTTAAAAGGCCAGACTTCAGGGGTATCTGAGGCAGGCTTGAAACACAACAGTCAGGGTGGCTTCTGGGTAATACCAGATGGCTAGGCCTCAGACTGACGAAGCCCTTTGGATGAGGGGCGAAACGTTTCTTTTTTAACAAAAAAACGAAGTCCAGATGACATGATTCAACCTTTTTT